TTCAGCAAGTTGATGCATCATCCCCTGTTAAACGTCTTGAATAAATCTCGGAGACAGGGTTATGACAGATTTTGTAGTTTAATTTTATGCAGTTTTAATACAAATTGTGAGTACAAATCACCATTTTCTTTGGTGGAGGTATATATTAACATTGATTGGACGAAAGTAGGAGAAGGAATCTACAAAGCGAAACAGAAAGGGGCATATACTAACGAATTAATAATTCAGTAGACCTCAGGGTCACTTGTCATAACGAACGTTGCACAACTCACCATTATCACAGATATGCTCTAGCACTGGCGTCGTTGCCGTCGTCGTCGATCTTCTGGCCTACTTCGTCTTCACGGTGGATGAAGGCTCCATCTGTTTAAATAGTAAGGTTTGGAGGGGTTGACAGAATGATTAACCGACATTCGGGAATGTCGACACCTAATGTGATTCCAGTCTCACATCCGGTTAACAGACCGCTAATTAAGTGCGCCATCACTTAGTGTTTACACAATGTTGTTACAGGTGACTTACCAAACCCACCCCTACCCCCCACCCACCAATCATTGTGACGAATGTTTATTTTCACGCGGATTTCAGGATGGCGTTGTTTGGACGAGTTCCCATGATAAGTCTAGTTGGTGGTTGGTTGCACGTGCGCAGCTCCCGTCACCCATTGGTTAATTTAACTAAATCAAATTTATGCTCCCTACCCCGGGTTTATCGTTGCTAGCTTGAGTTGCTATGGCCTTGGTCGTTAAGCTAATTTGTTTAAACCCTCCTCGCGCCTGTTGAACTACGTATTTACCGCGAGGTCAACTACAGCGACGCAAAATCCAAGCTGAGAACAGTGAAATCTGGTTTAATTGACTTGCGACCCACTTAACTGATTTTAAGGCAGAGGGGGTTGTGGGGGGCGCTAATACCGGCCCGCATCTGTCTCCCTCAATGCGGGTCGACTTCCACACATTCTGCAGGTGGGTGCTTCAGGTCTTCGAAGCACGTGCAGATGGTTTGGAGTCGTGTTTTGAGCACAAGTCAATTGGCGTTTTGATTATTATACCCTCATCATAGCACCCCTGTTAATTTACTTCACATCCAATAAACTTCAGGCATTTTAGAAATTAACCAATCCTAAATGGCGATGCCTCAGAATGTGTCTGCTAACTAGATCGCAAACGTCATTCAAAAATCAATAGTAAATATCATAGAACACATTTCTCAATGTCTTGGACGCGACGTTGTCTCTGAAGTGAGGAAAACAAGGCATGAAGCTGCTGTTTCAGACAAAACACTACAAGCACTTACCGTGTGAGATGTCGTTCGTGGAGAACCGAGAAGCACAGCATTTGGTGTCTTCGTGTGTGCTCTTGCTGACGACTGACTTCGAGAGGGTGAGCATTCTGGACCGCGGAGTTCCTTCCTCTTCAACATTTCCACGCTTGTCGACCGACGAACAGTTGGGAAGAACGATTTGACGGGGGGAGTTGCATCCCTCGTGGAAGGCCTTGCCTTGCGAAGCTCGTGAAGTTTCTTTACTGGCGTGGGTGGTGGAGGTGTGTCAGCGGCTTCATTTTCCACTGAGGAACTCGGTGACGCGGAATAAGTTGACGTCGATCCTGTGGTGTGCTTGAAATCGCGTCGGCGGTAGAAGCGTGGAACAAGTCGGGCGTCCACAGCCTCCCAACTCCATGACTGCCGGAGTGCAGGGACATCGGTGGAAGTTCTGTGTAGATTTGAATCACTGGTGCACGGCTGCATCGTTATCAAGTCGAATTGGTACTTTTCGCGGAATTCTGAACATTGCAGTTCAGACAGGCGGTCGATAATATCATCAATTAAGAGTCTTGCGGGTAAATCGTCGTCTGGGTGGTAGAATAGTCTCTTTGCAGGTCCCCTTCCCTTCCTGTCACTCATCATGACGAGTGCTTCTGTAAAAATGATGACAGATCCATGTAGTGGCGACCACTCGGGTGTCATCGATTGGCTGCCTGTTGGCTACCAATCACATGTACCAACCCGTCAGCCAATAGGAGAGCGGCGCGTTGCACCAATAAGGTGACTGTGCGCTAGGCTCAGATTCACTTTATACGCTTAGTCTGAAGTCGTGTCATTGAAGCTAAATTGCATAAATTATCGCTGCTCCTAATGTTAATACATCCAAGCCTGTTGGGTTTAGTTCAAATTTTAGTTTTGTAGGGTCATAAATATGTGCTTTTATGGCATGACGCGAAGACTGTGGTGTGAAACGATTAGTCTGATTCCGACAGCGACTCCCCACGTATACATCCATGTGAAGTCAGTTAAGTTCCTGAAACATTCGTCGGGGCACGTAGTGTGTAAGTCTCTTTCCAGAATGCCGTAGTGATGTGTTCTCACTGGGAGATGCCAGTTTGATGGACAGCCATCATGCTCATTTGCCTTGTTATGCGCTTTTAAATTTTGCAGAAACTAATACTCGAAGGAGATTGGTCGCTTGACGATCCAAACATTACAGACTGCTGACCATCCAGATCCGTTCTTCCAACACATGCAACCTTCTTTCTGAAATGTCTTCTACTGATTCCACATCTTTCTGAATGCTGTCACCTATTCTTTAAGAAATGCCTCCGTGATTTTTCTCTAAAAGGCTGCCGAATTCTAACCGTCCTCCCAAATCCTGTGACGGTTTATACAAAATTAGTTCAAGCCACAAAGTAATTATTTAAGGTTACCTTTTTAAACCTGTGATTGCTGAGATATTTTCTTTATCTTCAGTACCCAGAATTACGCTGTTTTTACCAAAAAAACTAATTTTAAAAATTAGTAATTTGAAAGAATTTAGGTATAATCGGCTCCGAGAATGAGCATAAATGCTTAAATGTCCTTCCCTTCTTACCTCCAGCAAAATCGCATGGAATGAAGCATAGATTAGGAATGTTTGGACCGACATTGCCGCGTTTTTGCATGAATCTACAAAAGACTTTTCAATCAGTGCGAAATCCGAGGAAAATAATCCATGAACAGCCGAAATTACCGGGGCTTTTTGGTCATCTTGAGCTCGTCATCAAGTAGTTCTCGTCCCGAAAATGAACATCTGCGTCACCTGTTTTGTATGTGTCGTTGTGCCAATCGGTTGGGGTGAATAGATCCCGGGGGAAGATGAAAGGGTTGCCATCTGATGCTCCCTGAGGGTGATCGACGGGAATGCCTGCGGTCACACACCTGTCCACTATGCCGCGTGCTGGGTTCTTCCGCTTGTTGACGAGGTCCACGAGTTCGCACAACGACTTCGAGGCATCAGCTTGAAGGACTGTGGCAGTGTGAAGATGTCTGCCGTGTTGAAATGTTGTAGGTCAACCGAACCAGCTACTCAACTACTAAATGAGAACAAAAGTACGACATTTCGCAAAAGACTTCATAGGGTTTATCTAAAATGTTGCATTTTTCACCTATCAACGTGAAAAAAAATTATTTAAATCGTCTCGCATTTAAGGTGGTGTGTGAAGGACGCAAACATTTAGAAGGTCACATGGTCATCAGAAAAAGCGCTTTGGATGTGGAAAAGGAGAATGAGCGATTTCCATCTCCAAAGCAATTCATGAACAAGTACCAACAGGCAATCAGATGTAAAAGTGGCGGTAGACGCCTCAGAAGAATGGTTGCCGCCGTCAGAAGGCAGAGATCTGGAAGATCTACAGTCTGAGAGAATGTGGTGAAGTGAGTTGGCGAGGTCTATGTTTTTGATGGAAGGAAGTCAGTGCGGTGAGCAAACCTGGAATCCCGATTCCTCAAGTCAAGTGTTTGGCGCGTTATCTGAAAAATCATGAGACCAATCTTCTTCGAGTATTAGTTTCTGCAAAATTTAAAAGCGTATAAGAAGGCAATGTGCTAAATGATTGGTGGAGCAATGGCACGTTGAACAGGCAAATCGTTCGTATTTGGAGCGAAGCGAATTGACATGCCACGACTTCGAGTGAATGTGTCCTTCACAATCTCACAGAACCGACCGTTCGACTCAATGTTCTTCGGCAGAAACGCAAAAGGTGAAGACCAAATGGAAATAATTGAGCAGCATATACTTGACGAAAATGAGGCAAATGAACATGATGGCGTTCCATCACACTTGTATCTCCCAGTGAGAGCACATCACTACAGAACTCTACCAATAGGATGGACTGGACGTGGTGTAGAACTGACCTCTACGAACGCCCGACATGACACCGGGTGGTTAGATTGTCTGGTTTTATGTCGAAAGACTAGTCTGCTTCCAAATACTTGTAAGGAGTGAATCTGCGTGGTTCTGGTGACTGCTACTCACGTCTATTTACAAAAAATCTGTCAGAAACTCAAAGAATTTACGCAATTTTCTTTAGATGCAATTCGGTTTGCTTAAATACACCAATTACACACTTCCTTCCGCTTATTTACGTGCAATTCTTGAAGTCATGTATCTCTCCTTGACGTCTCTTTGTAGAAATCAGCTCCTTGAAATGCCACTAAATCAGGCTTTTTTTAAACTACGTGATATTTTGCGGTTTGTTTAAATTACTCCGATATTACAGAGCTAAATAACGTAATCGTGTTTACGCATAAAGCAGAGCTGTTCATTCATCCGGTGCCGAATTTAAGGCGTTTTCAAAGTCTCGACAATTTCACATCAAATTAACTACTGAATTCCGTGAAACACGTGAGTACAACCAAACAACTGCACTTAGATATATTAGTGACAAGCGCACTGAGTCAGACCTCGACGTCTGCTCGTCGGTTTCAGTCTTTTTCAACTGGCGCCAGTTGAATTCGTGGTCACTAGGAGCTACCGAGCAAGCGTTTCAGCTTGAGCTGCATTGGCGATGAGGTGAAAACTTCGTAAATCTTGTAAACGCGCACACTTACGCAGTAGAGTGTGGCGGAGGGGTGGGGCAAGAAGTGGAATTACATAAAGGGGGGTGGGGGGGTGGCACGGGTCAGACGCAACCCCATAAAAACGAAACGCCACACAAACACCTGTATCACTTTACGAGTCGAGCCGGGACACTGCGTAATTTAACGATCCAAAGAGGGTCGAATGCGTAGTTAAAACCCCCTCCCACTCCAGCCCTGTCCACGATCTTATCTGCCTGTTTCAGCACCTTCAAATGTTTACGCTGGATCGCAACTGACCCCAATACGAGGGGTTTCGGTGGGAGCCTGAACGATGGAGGTGCGAACCACTGTAGTTTCGCAAAATTCCGTGTAAATAGCCATCTGGGCAGTGCCCTAGATTTACAGGCCCACAAAGGGTGCTGTGTATTTAGACAATCTTATGAAATACTAGCGAACGTGCATTGGGTGCACATGTGGCTCCGTCACCAACTCACCCTGCCCAATCAATTGAACGCTGCTTGGTTATGACCTGGAGCATGGTTCGGGTTGGCGCAGTAACAACCGACGTCGCATTGGCGCTACCTGATTTCGCGTCGCTACCACCTCGTGCAAGATGACTGTGCACAGCGTAGCGCGTGAATTGGAAACAGAATTGGTTTAGGTCACGTGACCCGCAGGTGTTCACCCCCATGTAAATAAAAGCACAGAGTGCGTGAGTGCGTGCATGCTCTGGAGGGGTGGGGTGACGCCTTAGGGTATTGTTTGGTGACTACAAACCAACTCTATTGTTATGCCTGGCCGTACTTGCCTGGATATTCACGAAGTTGAGGTACCAAAGGCTACATACGAAGTAGAAGGGAAATGTCCATGAAATCGACTTAAACAGCGTCGATGTGCGAATAATTGTTGATTCTCGTTACAACTTCCCCCGATAGCCGACAACCGACCAATCAGAGGCCTAGACGAGCAGGGGCAGGGCGCGGCCATATTGCTCACGGCGCCTCAAGGGATTTGTTTATGTTCGTAGAAAAGGGGGAGTGCGTGCATCCAGGTGGCAAGATGCCTGGATTATCGAGAGTGGACCTTTGAGCCGGCAAATTTGCCGGTCCGCGTAAATATTCACCAAGGCTTCTAATGCGCTTGTCGTTTTTGTAGGTTTCCGTTTCTCGTTGACGTTCGCTTAAACGCACGCACGTGCGTGTGAGTGTGCATGTTTACAACATTTAAACAAAACAGTTTAAAGTGCTTGAACTGCACCTGTCGAAATGAGGCTGAGTTCTGCGTGGCCATGCTTCCCAACCCGGAAGTGAACCAATCAATGCTGATTAGCACTCAACCCAACTTCCGGTGCATTAAAACAAAACTAAAAACACACGAAGCGCGAAGTGTCCACTTCTGTTTTGTGCCTATAACATAGTTCGAGGTATGTTGTCCGGCAACTATGACAGGAAATCAATCACCACTTGAAATGCATATGTTGGGGGATAAATGTAGGTGTTTGGGTGACACAAATGTGACATTCGATTTCCAGCAACAGAGTGTAAGATATCCTAAAATTTAGTCGCGGATTAAAAAAATCAGTATAAATTTCTGGTTTGGTGACTCGAAAACTTTCTAACCTGTTCAAACAGGCTCAGGTAGTTCTTGAAAGTGGCGCACACATGTGACACAGCGGTGTAAAATTTGTTGATGAGTTCAAACAAAGCCCAACACTATAAAGCGCAATATTGAACAAAAAATTGCATTAATTTAAGCGGCTTTAGTATCTGTAAGTTCATAGATCAGGCGTAAACTGCACAGCATTTACTAATTTAGCATAGATTTTGGAAATCAAGAAATCAAGTGACATTTCAGTGCTGCAAATTTCGAGGGTCTCGTGGGAAATTTGAGCGATTTGAGGAAAGATCGGTGGTGGAATATGGCGCAGAAATTCGGCTTAATTTTTGTGATTGGATTTCGCATGCCTGACCTATTAGATAATGACTACTACCCTCATATATGTTCCCTCACTTAAATACCCTTTTAACTGTTGCTACGAGGGTGGCGAATTGATGTGGACGTGTTTAGCACAA